GGCGAGAGGCTTCACCAGAGACAGAGTGGGGAGCAGAACAGGCAGATCGACGAAGTACACTGCTGAGGGGAGCAGCGGGCGGGTCAGGGCGGGCCATGTGGTCACCTCCGGGGCAGGCGGGAATCGAACTCATGCAGAAGTGGTTTTAGCTTCTTAATGCTGTGCTTTAACCCACTGCGCCACCAGGGAGGGCCATCATCCACTCTTTTGACACACTAGTATAAAAGTGTAGTTCCCCTCGTCAACCCATTTACTTAAATTATGATCTCTACCTTCTGTTGCAAACCATCTTTTGTCAGAAATCCCTAGTCTCTGTGTCCACTGGCTTCTTAACCTGTGTTCTTCGAGGACAAGGCATTTGAATGGTGTGTCCCTCTTGATTAAGCAACTTCTAATTATTGGCATCACTTAACACCTCATTTTCCCTTGAGTTTTGTGATCTGACCTCAGATATTGTCTGTTTTTTTAAAAATTTAGTATTGCTGTGTAGGTGGCATAGATTTACCCAAATTCTTGATTTATCCAGTTCCTCAAAGCTTCAGCTTGACTCTGACCCTGGAGTGATACCTGAAGTAGGGGGTCAGTTTCTGCATCACAATAACTCTATACGCAGCAGTTGGCAACAACTCCAGAGGTGCCAGTCCCAATAACCCAGTGGTGGTGTAAATCCCTCCAGTTTTATGGCTTGTCATTTCCTGAGTTGCAACTGATGTGAAAGGCTGGAACCCTAAGGTCAGAGTTCAAAATTGTCGCATCTTGTGGTTGGGCATATTTCTGTGTTCAAGGCATTGCAGTATGTTGACTCACCACATCCTGTCCTTGCTTTTGTCTTTTTGTCTAGTTTTGGAGGTATTAACTGATAACAGGAATAGCAGAGAGCTTTGATTTGCCACCTTTGCATCTGAAAGTGCCCATTTCTCCTCCATCAGGGTATTCCGCCACTTAAAAACTATCCCATTTTGACAACATGTTGACAACAGTGGTGGACAACATGTTGAGCCTCTCCTCATGTCAAAAAGAGATCAACAGTGCCAAGACATTTCTCTGGCAGGGGCAGTGCCATGCCCAAAAAGTTTTGAGGAATAATTCAACTACAGGTTCAGTTCCTTTATCACCTTTAATCCTTAAGTGATGTTATTGAGTAACTTTTGTACCTTCACACATTGCAGCCACTGGCGGTACTGTCACTATTCCCACCCCTAAAGAACTGGGAGCCTGTGCAACTGCATGTTGTAGAATGCCATTATCATGAAGATGAAAAAGCAAGTAAGCTCTTGTTCTGGGAAGCAACGTGGCAGGTCCCTAGTTTGTGAAATCCAAGTTGGGCAACTTACTGAACCTACAAAGCCTGCACCTCAACTCCAGCTTATCGAAGATGACCTTTTATATCACATTGGAATCAGTGGAGTCCAGGTTGAATATAGACTAGAAAGCTTCCAGCAACTCTCAAGCCCAAATTCAGTTTCCACTTATGTGGGCAGACCCTTCCCACTGTCTGGTGGTCAGTAATTCATTTTTCCACTATTAAGTTGCTGGTAAAGTGGTATTCCTAGAGATTTCTTAGGATTTTGTCCTTCCTGGGCATATTCATCTAGAGCTTCACAAGGTTGGCAACCCAGTTCCCACAATAAACTTGAAAAACTGCTCATTACTACAGACATCTACCTTCAGTGCCATGCATTTGACCTGCCTGTCCCTCACTCACCCCCAACCTCAAGTCCCCGAAGAACACATTTAGAAGCTTGGTTTGTTGTTCATGTTGTTTTTAGTGAAAACTAGCACTACATATGTGCCTGCTTTTGAGCTGGAACCAAGACCTGCTGCCACTTCAGAACCTTATTGATCCCAGTGACAGCCTCAGTGGCCATCCCTCCACCAGGACTAGGCAAACAAAAGGCTTGTATCTGATTTTACTGTGAGGTCTGATCCCATCCCTCACAGGCTCAGATGTTTGAGCCTTGAAATTAGACTTCTCAGATGCCTTTTCACTCATCCCTGCTGAGGAGGCAAAAAGCAAATAACCTTACCTGCATATATTTGTGATAAGACTGGAACCAGGTCTTTAGCAATGATTTTACTATGTTACACCATACCATTTATATCTAGTTGCATAATTTCAACTGAGGGAATCAACATGTGTAAAGCTGCTGTTCTATACTTTTCTAATCTGAAGTAGTGTGGCTCCTGGACATTACATCCCCAGCATCTCTTGGCTCAGTCTCTGAAAGTGCACATTTGAGACCTTTGAGATAGAATCACTCAGTTACCTATATTACCAGCTGGTCTGCATTGAGACAGGATTTCAGCAATTACCAAGAGGGACTTTGCTACTCTGAGCAAATTTATCACAAGATAGCCAGTGCTTCCTAGGAAGAGAAGGTTAGTCCATACCTCAATTATCTAGTCTTACTAGTTGACCACATAGACACTAAATATATCAGGGGTAAGGACCTAATTTTACAAAGTCTAATTTCTAAAGGGCCACTGTTTCAAATCCTTTACAGTCGCAGTTTTGGAGCTCGTAATGGATCATCCTTTGCAAATCCAGCCCATTCTGCACTACTTCCTGCTCCACAAGTGCATGGCACTTCCAAGCCCATCTCTTATGGTTAAATCCATGCATTTGGCAGAAGTCTGACCTACATATAAACCAGTGTCAACACCTTCACTGGACTATGGGAAAATCTTGATGTAGAGAAACATAACTAGGGCCCTACCTCCCACACCAGAGCTCTCTCAGTGGCAAGTCCATTGGAGGTGCCAATTCCACTGTAGACAGGGGAAGGGTTTGCATGGAGGAGTAGCATCTAGATTTCATTATATTTTTCATTTTCTGTAGCCTTCTGTTCCAGGCCTAACACTTCTTGCTCTTGAGAGTGGAAAAATGACCAAGTTTTTCCTTTAAAATTCCTTTATTCCTTTCATTGGCTGATTGATCTTATAACTGGGTGCTTACATTTGCCTATATTTGACAACCGGGTCTCCTTAAAATGTTTCATATTCACCCACTTCCTGAGCCACAGAATCTAGAAAAACATCTCCTTGATTGGAAGAAAAACATTAAACATGATATCATATAAGAACACACAGCACCCAGCTGTCTAAGTGCTTTCCTTTACTATTTTTGTACTTTGTATTGCCCTCCTAAATACAGCTGGACTAGCTATCAGGATGGTGTGGAAACAAACTGCCACAGTCTATCCTGCAAGGAGTCTGGGGTGAGGCATCTCCAACTTCTAGGCCACCTCAGGTCTTGCCAGGTGTCCAATGAGTTGGTAGTATCAATGGCATTCTTATTTTGGGAGACCCATGGTTGGGGTTTTAAAATATGCAAATTAGGACCTGCTGAATGAGGAAGCACAAACTACCCACACGTGGTCAGTAGGTAATTCCCTTAGTATCTGAGCTAATTTGGGGAAGTGAAACACTCAGGCATCACTGGATTGAGAAAACACCCATACAAGGAAGTAAAATCATAGGAATTAATATTTGTAGGTCCCCAAAATGGGGACAGAGGTAATGTCCAGGCCCACAAGTGAACAAAAGATTGACTAGTGTAGGATACACCTATTACAGTTTACTCTTGAATAACAGAGGTTAGGAGTGCCAACACCCTACTGCCTGGCACTGTCTAAAAATCTATGTATAGTTTTTTATTTTCCAAAATTTAACATAGCCTGCTTTTTACATAAAGACAACTAGTACATATTTTGTATGTTTATGTGTTATATACTATGTTCTTACAATAACATAAGCTGGAGGAAAAAAGTATCAAGAAAATGCAATATCAATATTGTAAGTTTATTTCATTTTTTTATTAGATATATTGTCAGCACAGCAGTGCATGATAGAAAACACTGTAGGCATTATACATATTACTAACAATAGGTATACAAATGAAAAGATAATATGAAAAAGAATTATAGATGGAATGGTTTATATTTATAAAAAAGCAGCAATATAATTGCTTTGTGGTAGCCTAGTATCAATATGACTGCTTCATGATAACTTAGCCTATACACTAATGAATGAATCATTATACAGTTTTTATGGCATATTGTACTACAGTATTCATGTCATATCTAACTTCTTGATTATTTTCAGTATTTCTTGCCAATGTGATCTATCTGCAAGTTTTTCAAACTTTCTCCAAAATGTATTCCAATATTTTTATTGAAAAATATCAGCATTTAATAAATGAACCTTCTCAGTTCAACTTTGCATTACAATTCCAGGATATATTCACGAGGGGTTGGGGTAGATGTCACTAACATCTCACAGGCTCAGTTCTTAAGAAATCATTTTATTAAATAAAGTACCATTGTTTGATTATTATTATTATTTCTTTTTTGGCAGTATAGTATAGGATTTCTCCATTCAGCTGTTCTCACTGAGCTCTCCCAACACCAAAGCACCCATCGTACT